GTGTTACCTGGGTTGAGGAAGGCTACAAGGGCACAAAATAGAACCATCCATAATGTTTATAAAATGTAAACATGATTTGTCTTCATGTCTACACACATTAGTATCTTCTGTCTTACATTTAAACTCCCAGAGAGCAAAGGCTATGTCTAATTCTGTGCAATGTTTGGCTTAATTAAAAATGCAGATAGAACATAATTTTTATGATGATTATGCAAATGCACCTGTTTCACGTTCACTCTGGTAGCTGCTTGGAAAATTCCTTAGTGTTAATGATGGCTGGATAGGGATATAGAATAAGAACACACATCCTTTTCCCTCTTTTAAAACCCTTTCTAAAAACCACTTTTTGCGCTGGTTGGTGGGGCTCAGTTGTTTGGGGCATTGTCCCATGCACCAAAAGGTTGAGGGTTCAATTCCCAGTCTGGGCACATACCTAGGTTGTGGGTTTGATCCCTGGTCGGCTGGGCACATACCTAGGTTGTGGGTTTGATCCCTGGTCGGGGTGCATATGGGAGGCAGCCAATTGATGTTTTTCTCATACATCAATGTCTCTCTCTCTCCCACCTTCCCTTCTCTCTAAAAAAAAAAAAAAAAAATCAGTAAAACATATCCTCATGTGAAGATAAAAACAACTACTTTTTATGCAGCAGGTACATTCACAGAGAAGACTGGCCCTCTGTCAGATTTAAAGTGGAGAGAGAAACAGCACTGTAATTTCTCCATTCTAACCCACTTCAGTGTTACATAACAGATATAATCCTAAGGATTAGCTTAGAGTTTGAATTCCATATTAATTCAACTGCTGGACTCACCACTGACTCAGCTCCTGGAATTAATATAAAGTAGAGACGCAAAAGAGTTGTTCCACTTGTGAAACAAAACCAAGCCCAAACAGCCCTAAGTCAAACCAGTTGGCTTATTGGCGTATAACACTGAAGCTGTAACCAACGGAGTGCTTCCAGTGTTTTCTAGACCCTCAAAGCATTTCCCAATGATTCCTCAAAATATAAGCAACATTGCTGTTACAGTCTCAAGATGAACCTTGCTATCTATAAACAGTAGCTAAACATTTTTTTTTTAGTGCAGTAGCTGCAAGAAGATACAATGAACTGTCAGTATTTGGAGCTGATACCATTACTAGAAATTTAAAATACAGGGTGGGGCAAAAGTAGGTCTATAGTTGCGACTATTCTTGTGTTACTATTTATTAACTACTGTATTATTTTTTATGAACAACTGTAAACCAGCTTTTGCCAGACCCTGTACAATATATCAAATTGGGTCCAAATGAATTAGTTCTTTTCAAGGTTATCATGAAATAGTCAGGCAAATGTGAAATCCCAGGCACTTATTACCCTGAAACAGAGAAGTCACTTTTGAGAACTCTGCCGTCATCTCTTTCCCATCCATCACAATGGCTAACATTTACCAAGTGTTCACCAGATGCTGTGTTAAGAGGAAAAGGACATGATCTAACTTAATCCTCAAAGGAGCTCTGGGAAGTGTTTTTGTCTGTGTTTTAGAGATGATAGGCTTAGGAAGAGGTTAGGGAGCTTACCTAAACCAGCCTAGTTCCTCTGTGGCAGAACTTGGATTTGAACACAGGGTGGAAACTCTTAACCATTAACTTAACTACATATTGACTTCAAGAAGCTAATGTGTGAAATCAAAAGCAACCAATAATCACAATTATGCCACTTTTAATTTGAGTCTGTCACATACACATAGTTGGTCCTCTCTATATTAAGCATGATGTCCTATAAAAAATGATTACAAGTTCTGCCAGCAAAAACCTCCTGAGGGAAACTAAGATCATGTACAAAAGTAATAACTCAAGTCTCTTACTGAGAGCATGGCAATACTGAGGCTTGGGTGTGGTCACCTGAGATATCTGGAGGAAACCTAGAGGCAAAATTTACCGAATTTTCTATTGCACAATATAATCTGTGTGTGGAAAGCACCCCCTAAACGGAAGTATCTGTCAGAGCAAAAATAAACCTGGTTAACAACATCTGAAAAATATATTGTGAGTGGGAATTATATTTCTCTTATTTGCTGCAGAACATGCACATATTTTGGTCCTCTTTAAACACACACACACACACACACACACACACACACACACACACACACACTTTTCAACCCAATCTACAAAACTCTGATGGGGAATAATACCCATTTTGTAGGAATAAAGTGGAGGTGGCTAGCTGAGTGCTCCTACTAGTCTCTTCTTGGGAGTTTACTTCAGCCAACTCATGGGGCAGCAGGAGGCCAGACTGAGCTTGGCAGGAAAGAGAAATCATTTGTATCCCTTCACATACAGACAGCTCATTCCACCCAAAGTCATAAAAGCCAGACTGACAGATAACTTGGAATGTGTACTTATCAAATACAATTTCTGATAAATATTATTTCCCAAACCAGCATAAGATTGGGGCCTGATTATTATTATTTTTTAATGAAAACATTTACTCCCTTCTTCCTCTCTTTTCGAAAGAAAGAAAGAAAGAAAGAAAGAAAGAAAGAAAGAAAGAAAGAAAGAAAGAAAGAAAGAAAGAAAGAAAGAAACATTTACTGAAAGCCTACCATGAGTAGGATCAGTCCTACATACTTTCACACCAGTGATTTCATTGAACTCTGACAGCAAAATTTTGAAGTATCTTTTGCAGGCACATTAGAGCTGAGGCTTCAGCTGAGGTCACGTGGTTAGAGCGTGGAACACCAGGCAAAGCCCCATCCCAGGTGCTGAGGCCAGAGGTCTCACTGTTGGGAAAATGTGAAATTCAGAAGTGCTGGCAGAGGACCAAGTGATCCTAGGTGGGTGTGGTCAAACCGACAGACTTAGGATGTATTAGCAACATATAGCTGCTGGCTGGTCTGAAATACTTAGGGACATCTCTACAGTTTCAGCTCTCCGGCTCCTTTTGGTGGCCACCACACAGACAAGTGGCCAGCTGTTTGTTTCTGATATTAATGTGTCATGATTTCTGAAATGTTGTTTAGTTAACATTTATTTTTACTTTTGTTGATGGGATACCAAAAAATGAGTAGACAAACCATCGATCTGATTTGCCTGAGTGTGGATTAGCTTCTGGGAATTTTACACATAGCTAATTTCAGCCATTTTTATGTTGATGTCTGAGAGTTTCAGTTTCAAGTGAAGATATTTTCTGCCACTGTTCCTTGAAATTCAAATTTTGAGGGTGTTCATTATTTGGTACCTGGGCACTAATTTATTTATATCTATTAAAAATACATACATAAATATACATGCTACAAAAGCAAATGCCATACTGTATACTCATTCAGGACTAAAAGAGACACTAAGTCAAAGCATATAGTCCATAACATTTTATACTATTTTTTCTGTTCTTATTGAAAATTTTTATATAGTTACTTCATACTACCAATCCAGCTCAAGCAACTCTAAAAAGTGACTTATAATCATGAAAGTTTCATCTTAAATATGCATAATAAAGACCGGTGGTCCTAACATAAAAGAAAACAACAACAACAACAAAAGGAAGTTCTCTGAGTATGTTTTTAGCATTGATTAACAAATAAAATGAAATCAGTTTCCAAAGGCTAACTCTGAACATTTGCCTGTTCTTGATTTTGAATTGAAGGCTGGACCTAAAAAATAAAACTTAATAGTGATTGTTCAGAGCAACTTTGAAGACAAGTAATATTATTGTGGCCTACCATAATTACTCTCTTTTTACAAAGTCTCCAAAAAGAACAGAGCTAAGATGCTTAAACTTTAAATAAAGTCAAGGGGGTATATGGTTGCAACACACACACACACACACACACACATTTATATTAAGGAGTCAAAAGCAAATTTTTTAAATCCACCAACAGAAAAAGAGAAATACAATTTTTGGAAAGAAGTAATAACGTAAGCAAACATTATTAACTCTTTGAAAGGCATATCTAAGCATCCAAGAAACAGTGGTTTTGTTTGTTTTAATGCAATTGGGATTTTGTGGTGAGTAGTAGTTATTTCAATTCAGTAAGTGCATGAGTCACATTCAACAGTGGCCTTCCATTACATTCAAACTGAACAACTGGTTAGGGGATGCTACTTAATTCTTTTTCTTCCCTATCTAAAGGGGAAGGTGCTAGAGAGCTTTTCCTATTCTCCCCCTGTTTATTTGCTGAGCAACTGGACCGCTGCTTCAGGCTGGTTAATCGGCTCAGCCATGACACACATGCAAAGGCTCTCTGGCAGGACAACATGCTTGCCATGCTGTAGGTACAACAGCAAAGGAACTGAAGCAGGAGCCTCTGCTTCCTCACATGGGAATCCATCTATTAACTCCGAACATCCTTTAGGTACTAACATTCCAAGTGTATGAGACTCCAAATAAAAAAGTGCTATTTTATTCATTTATTTTTCTATCTTTAAAAATTTTTTTTATTTTTCAATTCCAGTTTACATTCAATATTATTTTGTATTAGTTTCAGGTGTACAACATAGTGGTTAGATAATCATATACTTTACAAAGTGGTCCCCTGATATTTCAAGTATCCACCTGGCACCGTACACAGTTATTACAATATTATTGACTATATTCTCTATGCTATATTTTACATCCCTGTGACTACCAATCTGTACTTCTTAATCCCTTTACCTTTTTCACCCAGCCCCCTAAGCTCCCTCCCCTCTGACAATTACCAGTCTGATCTCTGTATCTATGAGTCTGTTTTTATTTTATTTGTTCATTTATTCTGTTCTTTAGATTCCACATATAAGTGAAATCATATGGTATTTGTCTTTGTTTGACTTATTTCACTCAGAATAATACCCTCTAGATCAGTGGGTTCCAACCTTCCTGATACTGCAACCCTTTAATACAGTTCCTCATGTTGTGGTGACCCCCAACCATAAAATTATTTTCGTTGCTACTTCATAACTGTAATTTTGCTACTATTATATCTTAGGCGACCCCTGTGAAAGGGTCATTTGACCCCTGAAAGGGGTTGCGACCCACAGGTTGAGAACTGCTGCTCTAGATCCATCCATGTTGTTGCAAATGGTAAGATTTCATTCTCTTTTTATGGCTGAGTAATAATCTATTGTATATTATGTACCACGACTTTTTTATCCACTAATCTGTTGATAGGCACTTGGGTTGCTTCCATACCTTGGCTATGGAAATAATGCTGCAATGAACACAGGGGTGCATATATTCTTTCTACTTAGTGTTTTGGATAAGAAAGTGTTATTTTAAATGATTTTTAAACTATCATTTCAGATAACTACAAGACATGTTCAGGCTTGAAAAAAATGTTCATTCATTATCAATATGTGATTCACTTCTAACTGGTTGACTCTTTCTGCTTATCTGCTAATAAAAGAATTTTGTTATCATACTGAACGTTTACTGAACATATGCTATACACAGAACACTCAGAGAACAGAGAAGCAGTTCTCTACAATAAAAACACTCCAAGTTTCCCTGACATGTCATACTGCAGAAAGGAGATAGAATGCATTCAGTTTTTTCATTTATCCTGCTCATGATAGCCTTATAAAAAATAAAATTTATTAAGAACTAGAATGCTAGAATCTCTTCAGACCTCAGAAATAATTTGGCCTATTGATTTTTCTTGTGCTGAAGCTCTGGAAAATCTGATATAATGAGCTATCAACCACTCTCTCTCAAAAACACACACACACACACACAAAACACAAAAAACCAAAAAACCAAATGCATATGCACACCAAATACTAGACTCAGTTCCTGCCACCCTCCAGACACCCCTTGGAGGCAACCCAAGCTAAGACACCACCCTAACAACTCCCAAACTATTCCCACTGCCTCATCACACACGTGAAGACATCAAGTTTCAAACAGGTGATGCAATTTGGCCACAGTCACATGGCAGAAACTGTGAACAGAGTAAATGAGATGAAAGTGAAAATGAATGCAGACACTCCTCAAAACTCTCAACCATCCTTTTCATCAGAAGTTAGGCTTATTGTGTTGCTAAGAAAGGTGAAAAGGTGAAATGCTTTGAGAAAAATATACCTTCCTGTCATCCTAGGGTTCTAGCTGAGCTTCTCACTAGAAAATAGGCAGGTTTTCTTTATCTTGCCCTCCAGTCAGGTCCACCCATGGTTTAGGGCTGCTTTTTTTTTTTTTTTTCCTGTTTGCCTCAGCAAATCAATAAAACCTGCATAATTTATGCACATTCAGAAGGAGGGCAAGCGTGAGAATATGAATTAGAGACCCGCATTCAGGAACCTAGCGAGTTCTAAAGAATTCTAAGTTAGTCACATAATGATGCTTGAGAAGTATTCTGAATCACAGACTGCTCACTTATTTAGGAAGTGGTAGTCTATGAGAGTGTTAGCAAGTTTTGGGGACCTGCTTTAGTGATTAGATGGAACTCATTTCCAACTACTACATTAAAATTTGTTCATTTGCAAATAGTTTGTTCTTTCAAGAACTGAAATAGTCAACCTGGATGTTACATGTACTTTTGGCTTACCAAATTCATTTAATATATTTCAAATTCCATACAGTAAATATTCTCATATGAGCCAACAGGACAGAATAAAAATGTACATGGGCTTTGTAATCAATATAAGTCTGAATTCAAATACTGAATCTTCTATATCCAGACACATGATACGAGGCTCACTACTTAAGCATCACTGAGTTCTCCCACCTGTAAAGTGGGAATAATACCTCCTACTTTGCAAATTGGCTGTGAAAATTACCAATAATAAACTCTATTGAAATAGGAGCTCCTGCAATATCTGGCAAACTTAAGGCATTCTATGAAATGGTAAGAGCTAAAATACAGGCATACCTTGAAGACACTGTGGGTTTGGTTACAGATCACTGCAATAAAGCAAATGTACTAACATAATAAAGCGAGTCACATGAATTTTTTGGTTTCCCAGTGCATATAAAGGTTATGTTTACACTATACTTTAGCCTATTAAGTGTGCAATAATATAGCATTATGTCTAAAAAACAATGTACTTACCTTAATTTAAAAATACTGTATTGCTAAAAAAAATTCTAATTATCATCTGAGCCTGTTGGAAAAATGGTGCTGACAGACATGCTTGACCTTGTAAAAAATATAGTATCTGAGAAGCACAATAAAGCAAAGTGCAATGAAATGAGTTGTGCCTGTAATGATTATTTATAAAGTTTCTACAAAGGATAAACCATATTAGAATCTTCTCCAAAATCTGAATTCATGACATCTAAATGAATGAGGATTTAATTCATTCTCAAAATGACTCGAATATTTGCCATAGTTTATTTTGACATATTAAAAATGATAACCAACAAAAATTAAAAGGCCACTGTTCAAATTACTACCTTTACTAAAATACTATTGTCAGGTTTTCTTTTTTGACTAAAGGGAAATGTAGAGTAGTATTCGTGGGTGTTAAGTCATTAGATAACATCAGTGTTTTAAAGTAATAGAACAACAAAACAGCAAGAGAATGATTTATTGACATAGAACTTCATGACTAAAATCTTAAATTAAAGAGTATGGTTCAGTACTAATGTTTTCACACTACCTACCCAGTTTTCAGACTGCACCTACTTATTCTTTTCAAACTGCTATCACTCTCTTTCATGAGAAATTTCTTACAAACTACTATAAGCCAAAAATTTACAGTGGAAATTCTTTTCTGAGTCCTTTTTTTAGAATAAACCTAATTCAACAGGCAAATCTAAATAATTTTTAGCAGTTCTAAATTAGAAAATTCATGACTTCTTACTGTAATTGAAAAGGAACATACAAAACAATTATTTAGTCACTTATAAAACCCATGTTCAACTTTTGAAATAATGACTAACCTGATAGGAGAGACAAGAATTTTATGATGAAATTCTAAAGTCTAGCCACTTGAGATAAACACAGCAGGTTATATAATTGTCCTCTGCATTCATAATTTCCTTTTCCCCCTTTTGGATATATATCATTTTTCAGTAATAATAGAACATGTTACAAAAAAAGTTAATGTACTGTGGAAATCATGCTCACCACAAGCTAAATTTCCAGTGAAGAGTAAAAGTTCATTAATTTGGAATTCACTAGTTTCATAAGGAGAAAAAGTGCTCATTAATAGTGTAAATAAAATTCTCTTGAGAATATACTGGGTTCTCCAGAAAACAAAACAGTTAGCCTTAGGCACTCATTTACATATAAATCCTTGGAGTGTTAATTGAAAAGCATTCCTAGGCATGCCAGAATGGAATTTGCAAACTTGGATACACTTAAAACCTCTTCCAGTGCTCTGTGATGGCATGCTCGGGAGACTGGCAGACTCCAGACACACGCTGCTTTTCCTAGAAAGACGCAGTAGCATGTGTCTGGAGCCGCTTAGCACCGTCACCCTCAACCAGGGACTGCATTTCCCAGGCCCCATGCACCCAGGTGGAGCCATGTGACTAGTTCTCACCAATAGAATATGAAGAGAAAAGGCATTGAGTCACTTCAGGGCCATGTGACTAAGAAGTGAGTGTTCCTTCCCTGGCTGTGTGGCTCAGTTGGCTGAGTGTCTTCCAGTGCACCGAAAGGTCACCAGTTTGATTCCTGGTCAAGGCACATACCCAGGTTTCGGGTTTGATCCCCAGTTGGGTTCTTATCAGAGGCAACCGACCTATGTTTCTTTCTCTCTCTCAAAATTCAATAAAAGTATTTTTTTAAAAACTGAGTGTTCCTTCTTCATGCTTTCTTTCCCTCCCACCTAATGCAGACAATCATAAGCCTTGGAAGATGGCATTCTGGGTCGCACTGTGTCCCCCTGCCCACCAAATTCATATGTTGAAGTCTTAACCCTCAGAAACAGGGTCATTACAGACGTAATCAGTTAAGATGAAGTCATTCTGGAATAGGGTGGGCCTGAATCCAACTTCATCGGTGTCCTTCTAAAGAGGGGACATTCAGACACAGACAAGAACAGAAGGAAGACGGTGTGAAGAGACAGGGAGAGAGACCACCATCAGCAAGCCAGGGGGAGGGGCCTGGAATAGATGCTTTCTCACAGAAGGGACCACCAACCCTGCCTAACTTTGGTCCTAGACGTCTAGTCTCTGGGACGGTGATACAAACCATTCCTGTTACTTCCGGCACCCAGTTGGTGGTAGTTGGCTACAGCAGCCTGAAAGCCTAACGGAGATAGTAGTAAGGCTGAAAGAAAGAAGGAGCCTGCGTTCAGGATTCCTGTGCTGAATAAAAGCACATCCCTCTTCACAAGGACCCACACTGGGCTGACACCTTAGCAGGAAAGCAAACTTTCATTTGTCAAACCCCTGAATTTTGAGCACTTATTCCTTCGACCAGCTAAATGACCTAATATAGGCCTTAATTAATTTACCTGGCAAGTAACTGTTGAAGTTATTTTATGCAAAGACAAACAAACAAAAAACCATAGACACAACACAATATAACATCCATGTAAATATTTAGGGTAAAAAGGAACTTCAAGGAAAGTTTGAGTTTATAGGAAGATATTTGAGGGTAATTACCCCAAATCCTCCCCAGGATATAAATTGACCCTCCTCTGCCAGTAGAAGTAGAATTTCCTCAAGAATTTTCAATAAGCCATGATGTCCAGGTTAAACTTGCTATACTTCACTTTAAAAACCTTTTTTTTTTTTTTTTGCAAATTCAGAGGAGTATTTCTCCCATCTGGCCCAAATGTGTAAAGTTTTATGTGGGTTCTAAGGCTAAGAATACCATAATATGAGGCTCTGCTTTTTCTAAAGTTCTCAATTAATATTACTTTAATCAATCTAAAGAGAAATCACTGTGTGATACCTTCTGCCCTCAAATATAGACCAAAACAAACAAACAAAAAAAACTTCCTTCATGATAGGGTAACTAATATGGAATCAATATACCATGTTACATTTTTTTATTGTGGCTTTTTTTTTTTTTCCTTGCATGATGAAAAAGTAAAAGGACAGATAGCCTAGCCAAGACCCAGAGTTGTAATTTAAAGTATCTCAAAAGCTGAGCTGGCAGCTGGGTTTCCCTGTTTACAGAAAAGCTAGGATGATTCAGGCTGAGCTCAGATCTCAATTTAGATCACAGCATCTGGATTCAACACACATGTGAGATGTAGCAGCAGGTTTCAAGGTCATGACTGATGCAAGCTGGAGACCAGAGACCACTCGCCAGAATGACTGCACATGGAGAAAGTGCCTAGAGGTGTCTGGAGGACCTGGCCAGTCAGCCTGCTTCAACTGCCAGGTAACACTAGCACTTCCTGCAGCCGGCAGGTGCTCGAGGCCAAGGGTATGATGACCGGAGGATGACACTAGTCCCCTAGTCAGCTTTGTCAAAGTCAGAACACATCCCTCAGCAATGACTTCTCTCCTGAAGCTGCTATTGTTCAGATTAAACTATGGGAATGTGGTAATAAAATGGAAAACCTTAGAAAGCACACACTTCTTGCTAAGATGGATGCTTAACTTTGCTTTGTTTCAAAGAGAAAAACTGGGGTAATGGAAAGGGGAATTTTTTTAATGCCTTTTTCCCCCCTTGGTGAGGAGAAATTACAGCCACAGTAACTATAATATAAGCTCCACAATGAAATCTAAAAATTATGAGGGAAAAAACAGCACATAATCTTCCCAGGCCAATTTTACCTCCATCAGAATCCACCTTTCTCCTTTCCTTAATTTTCCTCAGGTGTGCTACATCCAGAATGCTGGCGATTTTGCTGCTATGGATTTTATGTGCAAGAAAAGAACCCTTCCCTCGCTGCTTCTCCTCGCCTTCCCCCTCCGTGATCTCTCTCCCTCTCTCCCCTCGTCTCTTTGTTGTGAACGTCAGGGCTGACAGTGTCACAGTCTGGCATGGCTGGAATTTCTGACATTACACCAAGAAGCAGACCGAGAGCAGGAGAGCGGGCGGAGAGGACCAGCGTCAGGATGCGCAGCCATTTAAAGAAGTCAAGGCAAAAAAGAAGCCCAACCTTCTCCTCTGAGGTTCCTCGATTACAAGGCAACTTATAAATCATCCCGTATTGTTCTCATTTATCCAACGAGTCCGTTTTCCTACTCCTGTGGAGATCCCTAAGGTATGCATCTATTCTGCGAGATCAAAGTCAGTGGCTCCAATAACAGATAAGACAGGATTCGTGATTCAGCAGATTCTCAGGCTGGGAAGTGTGACAATCAGCGCGCTCTGGGAAGATAGCGCCAGTCCATTTCGAGTATCGATTCACTGCACTTTGTCACTCTAATGATGTTATCTCATTAAAAGAGATAAATGCCCCACTGTTCTTCCAAGAGCATCTGCTTCTTACTCTTCTCTCTTTTTTCAACAGCATGGCTCTCAGCAGCAGCACATTAAAATCAAATTGAAATCCAATGCAAGGCTTGGCGACAGAGCTGCTTACCAAGGCTCCTTTTTAATTGCTTTTTTCTACTCTCCACCCCCTTCCAGCTCCCCCACAACTGATTCAAGATGTCATCCATAGAAACAGCAATATAAAGAGAAACAGATGTAGAAAGAAATCATAATAGGAAGTATTTATTGAGGGCCTATTATGTGAAGCTCCACTGTGTCAACATTTAACTCCTGCAACGACCTTGCGAGGTAAGCTGAACAATCCCTACCACCGCAAATGAAGAAATGGAACTGATGTTACATGCTCACCCAAGATCACACAGATAATGAGAGGCTGAGCCACAATTGAACAAGGGTTCATCCAATGCAACTTTTTTTTTCTTTTGTTTTTTAAACCCCATTTTCATTCATGCAACACATAAGTAAATATGATTGCAACTTGACTAGAATAGGTGAAAAAATATAAAAGAAGGTGGCAATTATTCTTCAGCCTGCTAAAACCCAGGAACATAATGCCATAGGCAGAGCAGTGGTTTTGTTTCAACAGATTTCTTATTAAATAAAAAGGTAGCAATTTTCCATAATGAATGTTTTACATATTATTCCTTTGTGTATCAGGCCACTAAAGTACACACTATTAAAGTCTATTAAAGTCTGTATTTAGCAGCATTACTAATGTGCCTTTTGGGAAAATTATTACAATGAAACTGCATCAGTGTTTCACAAAATTTCAATTGTTTAATATTTCTCTTCTGATCATCAATACACAGGTCTATTTTTAGCTGTAATCAGACCTCATCCCACAGGCCATAATCCCAGCCTAGAGCCATTACAACAAATTGTTTATGGGTTGGAATTAAGACATAACAAGAGATGTAGAGATTGCTAATTTCAACCCAACCTTATTTTTTCATAGTTCATTGCAGTTTTCCTACTGTTCTAATTAACAGGTACTCTTTGCTCACTGTGACATGTGATGACACTTTACCTTTCTGGGTAGTGTTGGTTATCTTCATTAATTGCTTGTATTTATATCTAACCGAGACTAGCCTCTCAAGATAATGCCACTTTATAAAAGTCTGAAGGTGGTAAGACTTTTTTTATTCCATTAAAAAAAAACAAAAAAACAAGCAAACCAGAAGAACATATAAGCTGTGATTAATCAAATCCAAATGTTTTCATTTAAATCTAACCATCGTCATTTATAAGAGACTAGAAATGTGTCTTCTGAACATTGAGGAATTTCTGCTAAGTATGTAGTTTTAATACTCTACATAGGCATCTCTCCTTCTCTAAGTACATTTATTAATTTTATAACATGAGGTTTTTTTAAAAATGAAGCCAATGATATACATGTATTCAAAAGCATAATGTTCTCTGAAAACATCTTATAGAAAACAATAATGTTGGGCTTATTTTACAGAGAAAAAAGATAGGTAGCTGGAAAGAAGAGCAGAAAACAGCTAAGTTATAAGGCCTTTGTATCACAAGGGGGGAGGGGGGATGTAACCAATTTAAAGTATTAGGTACTCAAATGAAAAAGCTGGGTTGGAAGCAATCTCTGTTACATATTTCCCTTTATACACAGCAATTCCACTGTTCAAGATGATATGTGTGCAAAATCAGGCCAATTGAGTGGATAGTTAATATTCTAGACATGGACAAGCCACAGATTAACTAAGTAACTAGTCATGGTTCCAATCACCAATTCACTAAATAGGATGTAACGTTACTGTATCCACTAAGAACTGCTAATTGAGAGAGAAAGGGCAGACTGGAGACTTGGAAGACAGAAGCATTTCTCTGGGTGGTGCACAAAGGCCAGAATCCACGGCCCCTTTGTCACAGGGTCCCAGCCAGAACTGACATCAAAGAGAGAGGTCGCAGCACACATCATGTGTCCAAAGGGCTTGTCTAATTACGCAGTGGGGCTGTGTGGGCTTAGTTCAACACGTTGATGTAGAATGAGGACCCAGCAATTCAGTCAACATTCAATTAAAGCTCCACATGAAGGCTGGCATGAGATGTTTGTCAATTTAAAAAAATGCAAAACTTGTTTTAGTCAAGAAAATCCTAGGAACTCCTCTTTGAATCTTCAAGAAATAAGGATGAGCAAGATCTCTAAACTGCCCATCACAATGTGTGTCAAGTAGCACTAGGAAGAACAAAGTGGAACCAAGTATCCTTGTCCCTCCAAGTGAAACGTGTGTTATGGTCAGTAGCTGTGACCACTTTTCAGAGAGCTTATCATGATTCACAACTAGGTCTCTCAGATGTGAAATTACATTTTAGTCATGTCATCCCTTCTGTTGCTCTGAGGCCATGATGGTCTTAACACAAAAGTCCAGCCTTTGTATAATGAAACCTTAACTTACCTCCTACCTGTTCAGATTCTCCTTCATCTTTTCTGACATGATCAGAAGCTGTGAAGTCAGGCCATTGACCCTTTCACCCTCAAGTCAAGGCACGGCCGTGTCCATGTGAATACTGTAGTGGTGCACAGGGTTTTGGGGCTAGAGCCAATTTGCAGGTACTCCAGCACCATTATTCACCTGGTGCTCATATTCTCTGTTCAGAAAAATTCAGATTTTCAACTTACACCTGGACCATGAAGACTGCTTCTCAGGGAGGAAGGCATCAACCATTGCTCCATCACGAGCTGCTCTGAGATTCAGAGGTCAGTGTGTATACAACAGACCAACTAAAATGTGTTTCTGTTGAGCAGAATGAGAAGACTTGGGCTGAAATGGAAGCACTGATGTTGCTTTCACTGTGGAAATAATTGTAAGGAGATAATTCTACATAACTTAGGAAGCAGTTCTCAAATAGCATGTGTATGTTTTCTGTATGTTTCCACACACAAATACTACACAAATTATATACATGCATATATTTTTAAAAACAAATGAGCATATTTATATTCAGTTCATTCTTTCAAATGTGTCTTCTCCCTCCTCCAAACCACACTGACTATCTACTGGACTACATGGTTAGTGTTATTTTAAATCTGTACTCCCATACCTCTCAGAAGGAATTATAGTCCTGTTTTCTTCCTAAAAGTTCACTGGATTTCCCAGTGTGGTACCCATGGGAGAGACTGGAGGTCTAACTTTACCACCTCCATCCACCCCACATTCAGCAGAATTTGATGTACATGTAACATAGGAGGTACCCTGGCCTTATGCCAAAAATGTTCTACCTGTCCTCACAAACTCTACACAAATGAAGTTTTCTAAAATAAGGACTAAGGCCGGTTTTCCCTTAAAGATGTAGAAGGGAGAACAGATGTGCAACAAGGCAGGGCACTCACTGCTCAGGGCCCAGGGGCTTCTTAGACTAAGGACTACCAAATACAGGCCACAGGCAGAGTCTAGCTCAGTGATTTCTCAGACTTCTATCTCAGGACAGACTTAAAAATTATGGCAGACCCTAAAGAGCTTCTGTTTCTATCAGTTAGTTCTATCTATGCTTACCATTTAAAAAACTGAAACTGAGAAAACTTTGGAACACAAGCACACATTACAATAGCCATCATAGAAATAATGTCACTGCATGTAATGTAGCCTTTGAACAACTGTATTGTATACTTGAGAGAGTGGAAAAGGAAAATAATGTCTTGATATTATTAGAAAAATAGTTTTGACCTAGCAGGTGGCCAATGAATGGATCCCCTAGAGGTTCCAAAATCATAGTTTGAGAACTGCTGGTTTAAACTTGACACATACTTACTGAGTAAGAGGATATAATGTACACTTAAAATTTTTTGAGCCAATGAACAGAGGACAGTATCGGTTTCTAGACCATTTCTCTACTGACTATTGCCCCAAATCATGGATTCACTAACATCTTCCTTTCTGGTAGTATGTCGAACAGAAGGACTCCTCAGTCCAAATCTCTGTTTTAACCAAAGGCTCTGTCCCTTTTCTCTATCTTCCCCCTATATATCTTCTTCATCTGGTTGCACCTACAATGTAAAACAGCTAAAATGCTTTTTTTCCTGATTGTTATTCATATATGCAAATATTTACTGTAGAAAAGTTAAAAACACAGAAAAATATTTTCTTAAAAAACAAACAAATGCATTCCATGTACCCATGGTCTGAGGAGGTGACTGCCAATGTTCGGGGCAGTATCCTCTAGTCTTCTTATCACGCGGCCCACTGCCTGTGATAAGCTGGTTGAAGCATCATCCCATACACCAGAATGCTGTGGATTCGATCCCCAGTCAGGGTATATGCAGGAGGCGACCGATCAATGTTTCTCTCTCACATCTATGTTTCTCTCACTCTCTTTACTGCTCCCTTCCTCCCTCTAAAAATCAATGAAAAACATCTTTGGGTGAGGATTAATATATATATATATATATATATATATATATATATATCTCAAATATATATATCAAAGTATATATTTATATATATATATATATATCAAAGTATATATTTATATATATATATACACACACACACACACACAGTGAAGTCCATATGACTTTTAGGGTGAAAAAATGCACACTGCTAAAGAATATTTAAACATACAAGCAAAAAATGATAATGGTCTTAATACTTTGATGTATCTGCAATCTCTTTTCTGTGGGCAGAGGTATACTTTAAAAAGTGAAACAGGAATCAAACTGTACATGTTGCTATGCGACTTGCCACTTCATAGTATATTTAGAACATCTTTTCATGTCATTAAACATTCCTCCATCCCTCTTTGGTATTTTTATTGTATGGCTGTACCATGATTATTACCTTTGAAAAATTACCATTATAACAATATGTGATGGATATCTTAGCTAAATTTTTACATACATTCATTAACATTTCATTTGAGTAACTGTTCTAGAAATGAAATTTTTGCATCAAAAGGTAAAACATGTTCTTTCACTCTGTATGAGAGAGTCAATATTCCCATTCCTATCTTCACTGAGTAAGTTTTATGAATCCTCAATTGTATAGGTAGAAAAGCTACTTCGTCATTTTAATTTGTATTTCTTTGGTAACTATCAAGGTTGAACATTTTCTTATATGTTATTTACTGACCATATTTCTTCCTTTATTTTTTTTAAATATATTTTTATTGATTTTTTTTAGAGAAAGAGAAAGGGAGAGAGAGACAGAAACATAAACTGACTGCCTCCTGCATGCCCCCTACTGGGGATCGAGCCCACAACCTGGGCATGTGCCCTGACTAGGAATCGAACTGGGATCTCTCAGTCCATGGGACGATGCTTCATCCACTGAGCCACATTGGCTGGGCCCTTTATTGGTTTTATCTTTCTCTTCTTTGCCCATTTGCTACTAGAATAATCATCTTTATCTTATTAACTGTAAGAACTCTTAATAAATTAGCTCAGTTAATTCATGTCTTATATGTGGTAAATACTGCCCTGGTTTGTCTTTTGTCTTTGAGGATAGTTTAGAATGTCTTTTGATAAAAAGACATTTTCAGGTTTTACATACACTTTCTTCCTTTATAATTTTTGCCACAAGAAACTAACAAGGTTTTCTTTATTCCAAGATCATTTAATACTTATTTGTATTTTCTTCCATGTCACTAGTTTTTTAAATGTGGTATTTCTTCAAAGCCGGCCACAGGGGGACTTGGCCATGGCCTTTAGAAAAACAACAGTGGAAGCTCATTAGATGTAGACTCGTCATTTGGTGAAACTACCAAGTACATCCTAGAAAGGAGAAGAGATCCTATATGTTTATTCTTCACCAATTCTTTATACTGCATCCAGTAGCTTTGTTAACTTGCTCTTTCAGTGAGAGAGGTTTAAAATGGAGAAAAAAAATGTTAACATATGGTTTATGTTTACATTTTAAACCTCTGGGATGTGATGACTCTTCTCACCTTGCTCAGAACGGAAGCTTCAGATGGCAAAGAACATTGTTTTGTTCGCTGATGTACTGTAAGCTCAGTGCCTGGCACACAGTATGCACGAGATAGCTGTGCTGGAGGAGGCGATCTTTAATCAAGCAGAGTTATGTGTGTGCTGCATGCTGGGCAGGAGAGCCAGGGGTGATGAGTTCTGGGCCTCGCTGCTTTGCATTAAGGAGGTGCAAAATTAAAAACAACCACCAAAAAAACAACAAAACAAAAACACCCCTAAATGAAGGCAGTAAGTAAATTTTAGTTTTACTTTTTAGTTGACTGTAGAGATATTGATCTGAGTGTAAAGGTGAAAGTGCATCAGGACATGGTGCTGAATACTGGAAAATATTCGGAGAAAAAAATTCTTTGGGGCAGATACTAAGCAAAGCAGGGGCATCAAGCCACCAAGAGAAATGAGAGACGCTTACTCTACTCCATTTGATGCTATGGCATTTGTCCAAAGCAATAACAATCAGATCTGGCTTTATTTGAACATAACAAGGAAGAAATAGTTTTCAGGAAGATTCATTTTCACTGTGGGGAGAGGAAAAGAAACATTCTGTGTAATAACAGAAAAATCAATTATTTTTCAATCAGATGAAGTGTCCTCATAAATTCAAGGCAGAGAATGGCATGTGATATGCCTTTATGGAAACGATAACCATGAGGGAAAGAGTTTAGGCTCCTACTTCCAAGGCTGCTGTTAGAAAGAGAGATTTTTCAAGAGTGGAGCCCTGTTAGTGTGGGTTTGTGAGCTTACATAGTGGTATGGGATGAATGTACATCATTCTGCTCAATTTGCCTCTACCAAACCCCATCATGTCCAACCTGCCTCCCATTTGGCTAAGATGGGTGTGTGTGTGTGTGTGTGTCATTATGTAGTTCTTTTTATTTTATTTTATGTATTCATTTCTGTTTGTTTGTTAATCCTTACCTGAGGATATTTTTCCACTGAGTTTTAGATAGAGTGGAAGGGAGGGAGAGGGAGAGAGACACACACACACATCAATGTGAGAGAGACACATCGATCAGTTGCCCCTGCACAAACCAACTGGGGCGGAGATAGAATCTTTAATGCAAGTAAGTGCCCTTGACTGAGAATCGAACCCACGACCCTTTGGTCCAAGGGTTGATGCTCTAACTGCTGAGCCAAACCAGCCAGGGCTAGCTCTTTTTATTTGTATTATTTTTTTATTTTTAAAAAATGTCAATCACACCCACCTGAACAAAGATCTAAGGAGAGTATGAAAGTTGGAAAGATGGTCTTCAAATCTGCCTAAGAGCCAGGGAGAGTGAGTACCCTGGGAAAATCTGTGCACCACAATTCTTTAACAAGTATGGCTAGAACATAAAGCCCAGAATGTACAACCATTAAAGCCTTTTTACAATATTAAAAAGGTGAATAAACGTAAGGGTATCTACTTTGTATAAGCCTTCTGCATTAGAAATTAAACTGACAGAGTCTTAGGAAATGACACAAGAATCCCAAGAAGCTTTGTGCCCGGGGGATGCCCTCACTTCTGTTTTCTGCCAGCATGCAGGCACCAGCATGCCAGGCGTCTGAGGGCTGAGACTGCAGCCTTCCTGGTGTGTCCTCAGGTCCTGGCAAAGATAACAAGTTCAAGGACAGTAGTTCCCTGACTATCAGGTTAGCCCTGTTAACATAGTCAAATTGCCAATCCCGTGTGACATGGGGGCCATTCCTGTGTTTTCTAGAGGTGTCACCTCTGACGGACTCAAAAGAGAGCTGTTAGTGCCTGTGATCAGAAATGCCCTGGCACTTCCCAGGAATAGCAAT